TATTCTAGGATTGAGAATGACTCTCGGAGTTTTCCTTCTTAAGGCATTTAGCTCTTGCTAGTCTCTCGGGTTATGTCGGTTTCATGACTAACCTCTGATATGTCTTTGGATATACTTAATTTCTTCCTTATTTTCTTCCTTTTTAAGGCATTTAGCTCTTGCTAGTCTCTCGGGTTATGCCGGTTTTATGTCTAACCTCTGATATGTTTTTGGATATACTTAATTTCTTCCTTATTTTATACATATTTTTGAATGAAACTGTACTTTAATGGAATATATTGTTATGTTTATGATGTAAGTATAGCATGTAGGAGCATTGGAATGAATTTGGACTGAATCACAACAAACCAGAGCTAAATTGAGCAACAATGTTGATTGTGATCTGGCGCCCAGGCGCCAAAGCTTTTCGAGCAGACAGAGTGCACGCCGCTTAGGCGTCGTAGACTGGGCACCTATGTGTTGCAGTTTAGATAATTACTTGTTGCACGGCTCCGAGAGTTATGTTACGGGTGCTGACATTTCAGTCAGGGAGTTTTGGCAATCTTAGGATTAGGGAAGAAACTCCAAGTCCTGGAATTCTCCAAGGACATTAGGTAGTAGTAGGAATTCATGTTCTAGAGAGATTTGAGGTGAATTTTGAGAAAATCTATAAGGGATTTACGTCAGCATCTTGTGTAGTGCTATGGAAAACATCGTTCGGAGGAACTTGCTCCTCATTTCAGAGGGTAAAAGCTAAGTATCGTGTGTAATCTTATTTGATTATTGTTGTAAACACATATTTGGTTAATTTGTTTGGATCGAATGAAGTTTTCTTTGGTGTTTAGCATGTGAAGTGAGTAAATTTCTTATATTTTTCCCTTGTAATAGATATGTTAGATTTTTAGAGTTGTGAATGCTTTAAATTGATCTCTATTTTCATAGGATGAGTATATCTATAAATTTAATTTACATGTTGTACTGGCCATATAACTTATTAAAATTCATTGTGCCCATTAGGACTCAAAAGGGTGGTGACGAAACAACATAGAATATTCACATTGTGCGAATGTCTATGAAAGATGAGCTATGAGGAAATACAACTTATGAAGATGTGTATCAATATAGTTTGAATCAGGAGATTCACAGGTGACAGGTGAAAACAATTACCTAAATTTAAATCATACTTATTTATGCACTCGAAATAGGATAAATGAGTCTTATGCTCTTATTGTCACTACCACCTTACAATTCTTAGTAGTAACACCTACCATCTACCCAGAAAATCACAAGAGAGAAGCACCTTTATCAATCTTGAAATTCATCAGTTTAATTGATTGAGGCAAGTTTAACTTAGGGATAGAAATATACTTAGGAGCAGTTGTTCGAAAAACCATATTTAGCGACCTTCCAAACTAAGATCTGAAAGTAATAAGGCTAGAATTCACCCTTAGGTTGTTATTACTACGAAGCCTCTGCCACATTTTCTGTGTGATCGACATTTTGACTCAAGTTGAGCCCTTTATTACGATAGTGGTACATGCACTTGCGTAGGAACCTTGACATTTATGTGGAGATTGTGAATTGAATTAAATTATCATTAAAGTGTTGGTAGCTGTTGGGGTCGTCAACCTCGACTTAATAAAATAATTGAGCTGTTTCCAATAAGTGCATTGTATCTTAGTGACGTAGCACACTGTTTGGGGTCTTTTGTTGACATTAATTATTGTTATTGCGAGTGTAGGACATTCGCTCGAAAACTATAAGACCTTACTTGATGCTTGAGTTGATTCCTTTTGTGCATGACAATAATTTAAGACTCTCTGGCGTGTGTTGAGGGGCACACTGTCAGGTTCGTTTTGCTAGTCTTTGGCTTTGACCTAGGTGTAGGCCGGTAGACATTTATATGTCGAAAAACTCTTACCTAATGAGAGATTTTCTGTGGGAGATTTGGTTAACTGATTTATGCTTTATGGCTGCTAGAATCTGGTTGTCCCTTAGGCGAAGGCTGGTCGCCGTGTTGTCTATCAGACAGTTTTGATCGGACCAATGGGCCCCACTCGCCACACTGAGCGCGAAATGAGCTTAAATTGGCTTGTTTGTTGACAAATTTGTCCGAACAACCCCAGAATGTGAAACAGACTGACGAGCGCATCTAGAACATCAAATTTTCCCAGCAAAGACACCCATATATTAACCAAAAGAAAATCTTGATTTATAGGTTCATCAAAATATGGTTCTTCAATTTTAAACATTGATTTAATTACCAAATAATTTGGATTGTTAATCAAGTGTATATTCATCTCTTAAACTCTTTGATAATTAACAATCCAAAATAAGAAAACTAATCCTAGATCAAGTGTAAATAGGAGCATAGTAGATATTACAATTTTGAAATAGAGAGAGACAAAGATGAACAATAATAAATATTGTTTAATTGTATTTTCACCCACACTATTACAAATAATATTCATTTATTTATAGGAGAAATATTATTATAAAATGATAATTATACCTCTAATCATATGTAGTCGGATGAAGATGACCGACTGGAGCTGGTCAAGCCGATTAGAGTTGGTCAGGTCGAATGAAGTTGGTTTGGAAACTGGAGCAAGCTAAACTGACTGGAACTAGCCAAGTTGAATAGAGTTGGTCAGATGACTGGAGCAGGACAAATAATCTAGAGCGGACCGAGTCGACTGAAAAGGACCGATTAAAACTGGTCAGGGCTGACTGGAGTTGGCCGACTAGAAAGAGCGATTGGAAAGGCTGACTGGAAAGGGTCATATGAAGCATGTTAGAATGGAACTGTCTGGGACCGACTGGAGATGGTCGGGCCAAATGGAGATGACCGGGCCAAATGAAGCTGACGGGTTTGAATGGAGTTGGCTAGGCCAACGGGAGCATGCTATGTCAATTAGAGTTGTCAAGTCGAATGGAGCTAGACGAGCTGATGGAGCTTAGTTGAGTTTAGTTAGTTCTTTGGACAATTTCAGCGCCTTTAAACTACAAAGAAGAATTTATATCATATTTATTAATTCTTCGATTCTTTTATCTCTTCGAATGACATTTGCGAAAAGAATAAAAGAATAATAAATATGAAACTAAAATTATTTTTTTCTATAAGATAAATTGATGTTTTTCTCCAAATAAAAGTTAAAAAAATTAATTAAGTAAAAAAAGAGTACAATGTCTATGTATCTACTATTCCTCCGCCTGGGAGCTCTTGGTTCTTTTCTAGGATACAAAATAGGGGGCATTTTAGCTCACCTTTAAGGAGTAGTCTCATAGATAGTCAACTCATCACTATTACAATTGACTTAGTTTTATAAGAAGACTTCACCAAGTGTTGCCCATAAAACGAGTCTCCTCCTTTTATGCAACTAGATTTACTATTTTCTTTTAATGTGACTAAATTCTAAAATATTTCCAGTAGTTTCATTAAATTCAAACTATTCTTCGTCTGGGGGCCATAACTCTCCTATAAGGAGTAGTCACTGTAACTTTTAAACTTTGCATAAGCCGAGATCTTATGGTCTCCAATCCAATGTTAACTGACTTTATTCTTTATCTGGCCAAGTTATATTTTGCAAAGAGTTTATCCAAAGTCGCTCCTAGCATTCAACTATTAAGCAGAGTAGGGTCCAAAAATATAGGCCAATTTGCCTTACACTTTTTAGAAACTTGCATGTGAGAGGTAAGTTCCCCGAATGTTGTGTGTGAATTCAAATTGAAGAAGTGAAAAAAATGATAAATGCAATAAAACAAAATTAAGGAGGGTCCCAAGAGATTTTTCTTGTTAGCTTTACTCATTGACTTATCCTCCTTGGACAAACTATTTTCTAGAGTACAATTTTGAGAGAATTTCTTGGGAGAGCTATTTTTTTGGCTGAATGTAGTGGTCAAGTACATGTGGTCAGATTGAAGATGGTCAACTAGAGCTGCCTGGGCCAAGTCGAGTTGGGCGGGCCGACTGGTGCTGGGTGGGCCGACTTGCGTTAGGCGTGAAGACTGGAGCAGACTGAACCGACTAGAGCTGCTTGGGCAGAGTGGAGCTGGCTAGTCCGATTAGAGCATGTCGAGCCGACTTGAGCTGTACGGGCCAACTAAAGTTTCTTCTTTTTTGGGCTACTACTTTTCATGTTTGTAATGTGATTCACGCTCAATGCACCTTTTAAGATGTTGAATCCATGAATGTACGTGAATCACGACCAAGAAATAAAACGCAGATAAGGAGGAAGATAAATAGATAGATAGATAAAGAGACGATCAATAATGAATAATATTTCCATCTTCTCTATTATAAATAGCACGCTTTTATTTACAGAAGAATGTTTATTATAAAATGACAATTATACTCCTAATTTTAAGCAGTCGGCTGAAGATGGCCAGCTGAGGCTGGTCGAGCCAAATGGAGTTGACCAAGCTGAATGGAGCTGGTCGGGCTAACTAGAGCTGAACGACTAGAGTGAGCCGACTCGAAAGACCAAGCAGAAGGGGCGACTGAAGCATGTCATGCTGAATGGAGTTGGCCAGCTAGAATGAAGCTGGGCGAGCTGACTGGAACTGGTCAGGTTGATTGAGGCATGTCGAGCAGAATAAAACTAGTCGGGTTGATTGGGGCATGTCAGACAAAATAGAGCTAGTCTGGTCGAATAGAGCTGAACAGGCCGACTGAAGCTGGTCGGGCCAACTGGAGCATATCAGGCTGACTAGAGCATGCTGGGCTAAATGGAGTTGGTCGGGCAGACTGAAGCTTGGTCAAGAGGTCAAGTTCATTAGGTTTTTAGGACAATCTCACCACCTTTAAACTAAAAAGAAAACTTTCTTTCATAATGTTATAATTTTGACTAAAAAAATATCAAATATTTATTTTGTTTTGCAACAGTCGAGCACAACCAAGCTCCCCAAATCAGGACATTCTATGCAACATCAAGCTGCCCCTCAAAGAAACAATTTCAACAGCAGCAATCCCACAGCTCCCCCACAAATCAGCCCTAATTTTCAGGGTAGCACACCCAACATTCAAAGAAGACACCGCAAAGTCTTACATTTCAATGCATGATAGAAGGATATCGCTTAACAAGATCACATCAAAAACATTCACGAACAGTTCCAACTTCCACTCACCCTCATCCTCCCTAGTCAAATCTTCCAGTTTCTTCAAAAACATCAACAATCCCAGCTCAGGGTGCCGGCACAGCCTCGAAGAGCTTTGCGAAGTAGAACTGCGTACAAATAAATCCCCTCCTCCTCACGCGCCACCCCACCTTCTCAAGCGCGCGCTCCACATCCCTCTCCGCATGTAGATACGCTCTCGTCGCCTTCGACGGCCCTGGAAAAAGCTCCCCAAGTCTCTTCAACAAACTATAATACAATGTCTTCGGAGCAAAGCTAAGCAGCAATCTCTTCTCCGCAAGCGAAGCGAGATGCGCGATCATCCCTTCCGCTTTTTCCTGCGGGTAATGTATCAGCACATCCAGACAAGCCACCGTGTGGTACTTCCCCTCCAATCCCTCTAAATCCCTAACCTGAAACTCCGGCATTGCCACCCCCTCGACGCTGCCAAGCGTTTCCTCCGCCTGCCGACGCGCCTCCCCCACCATCGCCGCCGAGATATCGTTGGCGGAAACAATCGCCCCCTCGCGCGCGAGCGGGATCGCGAGGCTTCCTGTCCCGCAGCCGGCATCGCAGATGCTCACCCCGGAAAGGGGTCCGCCGTCCTTGAGCATGAGGATGGCGTTTTCTACGGTCTTGGAATGGCCGAGACGAATGTCGAGCTGAACCTTGTTGACGCCTTCGGTTGCCTCGCCGTAGATCTTCTTCCAGCGGTCGAAGCCGGTGGTGTTGAAGTAGTCGCGGACGACTTCTTTATCGGTGCCGCCGATCTGTTGGGCCTGTAGTTGGCGGCGGCGTTCGGGGTCGGTGAGGGAGACGGCGGCGGCGGCAAGGGCGGCGCTACCGAGAACGGCGAGGGCAGCGGGGGAGTCGAGGGGGAGATCGGCGGCGAGGGGGAGTGGGGGAAGAGCGAAGGTTTCGGTGGTGGGTCGGCGGCGAGGAGTGGATGTAGGGGAGGTGGGGGAGGAGGGGGGAAGGAGGTGGTTCGGGGGTGGGAGCCGGAGGATAGGACGGCCGCGAATGCCATTGGATGCGCTTTGGGGTTTTTGAATTTGTTAAAGATTTTGTAGAATGGAAACATAATTTTTGTGATGGATGTCGGATTGGTGAGCTTAGGGTGAGTGATGGATTTCGGATAAGGTTAGAGATATTGTGTGTGATGTATAATTTTTCCTTAAAAATGACGGTTTTCTGAAGGAAATGCATTGATGCCGTTGATGAATAAAATAAGTGTACAGAAGGTAGATCGTAATGGATAAAAGATGTGCCAGATTTGTAGAATAATTGGCAAACAAAATGTAATAGGCTGTTCAATTTTTTGAATATTAATTTTTTTTGCAGCATAATTTTTTCTTCAAACATTTACAACTACTTCAAAAAATCAACTTCCTAAAAAACCTAAGAAAGTGATAAGATAATTGAAAAAAACTAGAGATAAACAGCTAGGTAGAGCATTATAACTCACTATAATATGAAAATTTAACTCAAAAGCTCAAAATGTATAGGGATGGAGCTTATTTATAAATTTAGAGATCGAATATGTTTTTAGTCTTGGTCTTTTTTGAATAATCAGGAAGAAGAAAAATTTGTCAATATTAATGCATCTTGAAAAGTTCACCACAGAGAGTGATTTTTTATCGTCTTAGCACTACATGAAGATCTAACACACACACAACAAATTAAAGAGAATAATGAAGAGACACCTAGATTTCTACATGGAAAACCCTAGAATGGGGAAAAATCATGGGGTCTAGCACAGTTGAAATAATCTACTATGAATTGTGAGTATAAATGTCAATCTTCTCCTAAATTATAGAATATGGAGCTTCAAAATTGATCATGGTAAATGTACAACAATAATTGATTGATAATAGTGATTGTCTGGCTATAATGAATGTAGCTCGTGGTGATAGCAGACTGCAAGGGTCGTAGACGATTGCTATCCATATAATTGTCCGTTGTGAATATTGTAGACATTGGTCATGACGCTAGCTTGTATTATCGATTGCAGTTGAAATCCAAGATAGTAGTTATCTGTGTAGGCCATATATTGTTGCCTCAGAAGCATCGTTTGGCTAGAGAAGAGTTAGCAGGAAGTTGTAGGAGTTGTGAGATACATGGATTGTAGTTGGTCACATAGGTCGTAATGGCGAGTTACGAAAAAATCTACAGGCCGTATAGACCAGGTATTAGGGGCTGCACAAGCTGTGGAATACGTAGATCGTAGTTGGTCATGTATGTCATAGTGGTGTGTTGTGATGATGTTCATAGGCCATGGGGGCCGAGTCAAGAGCTACACAAGCTAAGAACTATGTAGACTGTAGTTAGAAACGTGAGCGGTAGTGGTGAGTTGTGGTGGCGTCTATGGGTCGTAGGGGTCCGAGTTAGAGGGCAACACGAGCAGAGGACCATTTAGGCTACAGTTGGTCAAGTAAGTTGTAGTGGCGAGCTATGATAATATCCATAAGCTACACGTGTTGGAGTCGAGAGTTGTACGAGCTATGAACTACATAGGCTGTAGTTGGTCACATAAACTATATTGGTGAGCTATGACGACGTTTGTAGTCCGTGTAGGACAAAGTCTAGAGGTCTATGGACGTCGGAATCGAGAGGTGCACGAAGAGAAGTTAACATCCTTGAGGTGCATTATTACATCGCCTTCAGAAGTTAACACTGCACGGTATGTGGGGTCTTGTTATCGTCTTCAGTGTATGTCATTGCACTATATTTGGGGTGCATTGTTAGACGGTCTTTGGAAGGCATCATTACACCATATATGAGATATGTTATTACACTATCATTGAGGTGCGTCGATCCATCATATATGGGGTGTGTATTTGCGTCGTCTTTGAGACCATCATTAAACCATATTTAGGGAGTGTTGTTATATAGTTTGTGGGGTACCTCACCATTCCACAACGTATGTTAGGATTCTCCATTGCATGTGACTTCATAAGGAACTTTACTGCAAGAGGTAGGTAACGGCCGATGATGGTCGATGATAGCAGATAGCTGATGGTCGGAGTTAATCAGTGGTAGAGGCTAGAGCTGGCTGGCAGTGACGATGGCTACCATAATTGGCCGATGGTGGTGACAGCTGGAGTTGGTAAGTGTTGGCGGTGGACGGAGTTAGCGAGCAATGTTGAGCGGAAGTGGTGGCTATCGGAGTTTGTTTGATGCAGTAGTAGCTGGAGTTGGTCTGATGCAACGACACCCGTAGTTGATCGGTTGCAGTGTGGCCTGAGGCAGTGATAACCAGAGTTGACCAAAGGTTGTGTTGACCGGGATTGGAGGACGATCTTAGCCCGAGTAGGAGGCGACGACTACCGGAGTTGGAGGCATTCATTAGATTTGCGAAACAAAAGCGATGCTGAACTTCAGCTCCTCTTCCAAGCTTCAGTCTTCTTTCAACTGATGATATTGGTCACCTTTTCAAGAGAGGGTTGATTTTATTTATAGAGTACATGTTGCAAATAAGGAAGGAATCCATATCACTATAATCAGAATGCCCAGAGAGATCCCCTTGATCAGATGACTGTTAATGAATATTCGAGTGTCTTAATGACGTTGGAAGTGAGCGATCTTGGGCTTGTTGGACTCTTCTCATCGAGATGCTCAATTTGACTATAAGCTTGTTAGATTTAGAATCCATTTGACTTTACAATTATGTCCAAAAAGCTCCTAAAAGTGGTTTAATGACTTAATATGGGCTTGATTTGACTAAGATTGGACTAATTTCTGTATCTTTTTGTCCATCTCATCGAGCTGGCCACTTTTACCGTAAGTTTGCTTGAATCAGATTTCAAGATAATTTTTTATAGAATTTTGAATTTTTTTTGCCCAAAAAATTATCTCGAGATTTGTGATATGAATTGAGATTCATGTGAATGATAAAAATTTGTTGATAGCGTATCAAATATGAAGATAAAACACATGCATATAGTATTTGGGAAATGTAAACTAATAAACGTAAATGAAAATTCTCATAACATGAAGACCATGACAAAGCTTACATATTAAAATCAATGAATGACTTCAAAAGAGAAAACGTAGAAAAGGCAAACAAGGTCAATTATTCCGCAATTAATGTATTTTTAGTACTCATTTCACTTAGTTTTTTTAATGTCACTGAAGTCTCCTCCTATCTCCACCGCGTTAGAAATTAGCATCAATACTATGCGATAAGCCTAAACTAAAGCGAGATAAATCAATAGGTAAATATCTTAATATATTGAAATTAGAATCATAATACTTTTGTATTTCTTATGCTTCTCTTAGCTTCTCAAGTCAATCTAATATTTTTAATCTTCTATTAAGTTTGATCCCAACAATCTTCTTTTTTCCATCTCTAACTAAGATAAATGTCTCTTGTATTTACGACCATATAAAGACTCGAAAGATTTCACTCCAATGTTAGATTGAAGATTATTTTAGTAAGAAAAAACAATTAAATGTATAAGATATATTGAATGCTCTCTAAAATCACGTGCACAAAACTTAGTAAATCTTCAAGAATCTGAATTGTCCTTTTAAGCTAATCATAAGAGATTAAAGTATATTTTCATCATAAATAAGTCAAATCTTAGGTAGAGAGGATGGTTGGGGCTAATTAAGGATTAGGATCAATGGTAAAGCTAATGTTATAGCAGATGCTTTTGTTTTCTACTAAGTAGCAAGTTAGATAATTATTTCTGATGTTGCATTGATACATGATAGAGAGAGGTTGGAGCTTGAGATTACAAGATTTGTTGATGTGGATATTAAAGCGATTTCTCATATGATTGAATTAGCTACGTTATAAGATATGATTCAAGAAACTGAGAAGATTGTTGAGGAGTATAGTATATCGATACACTATATTTAATATTAGAGGAGAGCCGAGTTACAGGTGGAAATGCATGAGACATTGAATTGTAAGGGTCGACTGTAGGTTTCTAATAGTGTACGCCTGAGGAGAGAGATCTTGGACGAGGCATATTATTTTGGATACATCCATTCTAGAAGCAATAAGATATATCATGAATTGGAGCTAATATTTTGGTGGCCTTGAATGAAAAGAGAAGTGATTGGGTTCGTATTAAGATGCAAGGCTTGCTAAATGATGAAAGTGGTAAATTAATGATCTAATGGTTTATTGTATCCATTGCCTTCCTAAGTGAATGTGGAAAAATATCACAATGGATTTCTCTATGGCCTTTTAGAGATCTAGGCAAGGATGTGATGTGATATGAGTTGTGGTTAATTGCTCTATTTAGGAAAAAAAATATAATAACCTCAAATGCTTGTTTACTATAAGTATACTTTCACACATACTGTTTAGCTAAAAATTACTCTTGGTGTCTTAGAATAATATATTAATTAAACATGTTGAAAGCAAATTTTTAGTTATATTACATACCACCTTATGAGGAATAAACAAACTCATCACTAGTTCAATGAATGTCATATAATTTTAATAAATAAAAAAAAAATAAATGTTAAATTTTATGTAAATAGCATAGAAAACAAAATATTATATACATTATTCTATGGAATTTAGGTTCCTTATATGAGCAGAGTCTTATTAATTAATTAGTATGTTAAATTCATGGATATTATGAATTTCATAGTTTATTTTATTATGATTTTACTTTATGAGCTTCAAATATGATATGTACTCAATTGATAAGCAAATATATAAATTACAAGAAATAGAATTTTATGAGCATTAAACCCCACTTACCTATAAGGCTATAATGCTCTAGAAACTATCTTACGTGGGGATATTGATTTTCCTATAATGAAGCTTCTATGTTTAAGTTGATTGACTTTTTCGGACACGAGACTTGTATTTTTAAGCAACACTAAAGCCGTCATTAAAGTTGCGACATAGAATACAATAGTTAAAGAGATTTTGTTGAATCAAATTGTATTGAGGCAATTACATACAGACCACCCAAAACTTGTTATTTACCATGCTTTTTCGTTCATTTCTCAAATTCTTTTATTGGGGCAATTACATACAGACCACCCAAAACTTGTTATTTACCATGCTTTTTCGTTCATTTCT